TTTTTTTTTTTTTTTTTGACCAAATTGACCAAAATTTATTTAAAAAAATATAATACTATCAAAACACTACAACATTTGGAATGAAAATACTTCAACTATGAGATTGTGGCAATTTGATTTAAAATAAGTTTTGCATTTTTTGTTATATTTTGTTACAATATCAGCCTGCAGTCACGTTCATGCATCTAGCGCATGCATACATCCATGGTTAGTTACAAGCTAAAATGTGATGGCTAGATAGTAAGTTGAGGTAAAATGAATGGTTCAACAGTACTGCAGTTGTGGCTCCAAACAAAATTATTGGGGAGAGAAGTGCAGATTAAATCATCCACCAAATTAGCTCTGGTTCTTGATTCAACAACAGTCAACAATAAATAATCTTATTCGGAATAAACCTGCCTTTTGCGCGAACTGCCCTTAGCTTAAATGTATTTTAACGAGCTTATTTTTTTAGGAGGTGGTACGCTGTATAAAAAAGTTTGAGAAACACTATTATAGACTATTGCAAGACTTGTCCTTTAAATGCTTATCCTGTTTGTCTGGTGTGTGCTACATGCATCAAATGATGCAACGGTATGTGACACAGCCAGTGTGCCTTGCACTCTGTCTTTTTTTTCCTTTCCTGGCATAAATGTGTTTTCATACTTCCCTTTAGCCAACCCTCCCTCCTCTATTTGCCTGGTAGTGAGTCAGGTGCTGTGGTGAGGAAAATTTAGTCAGCTGTCTCCCTTATCAGAAATGTGTGCACGTGTGTTTGAGTGTGCTCGGGCGAGGGTGTGTGTGTGGCTGTTAGTTATGTTATCTGTGATATAACAGGCCAACCACCTCCTTTTTTCCTCAAGTTAATGAGGGTTCATTTGCATTTTAGCCAAGAGCTTTTCTCCCCTTTCCCCCCTCCTTTCTCTCTGTCTTGCTTGCCCCTATTTTCTCTCCCCCTGCTCTCACTTTACTAAACCCTCCTCTGTTCACACTTAAATTCACTCACTTATTCTGACATGCACGCACACACACACATACACACACTATCTCTCTCTTTCCCTCCTTCTCGGCTCATCAGTATTCATGAGGCCTCCCTCTCTTCCTGTTCTCTTGTTTTTGCCTTGGCTCCAACCATCTCCCACGGAAACAGGGAGAGCAAAAGGGATAGAAAGCGAAGGAGGAATGGAATGGAGAGATATAAGAAGAAGGAAGAGAGGAAGAGATAAAGACACAGAGACATGGAGAGTGTGTTTAGCTGTGTATGTAATTGGCCAATAAAAAACAGGGTCCTCAGAGGTAAACAGTTTAGCGGTCGGGGATTGGCCGCAGCAGGTAGCAGGGAGAGAAGATTATGAATATGTAAATGAGTATGCAAAAGACATTAAAGCGGGATCACCTGAGCTTGTTACATTATGACTCCAGGGTCTGGGATGTCAGCGACGGTGGCTAACACACTCATCGCCATGCATTCTGATTTAACCGGATAATAAGGCCAGCCAACCAGCTGCGGCTATTTTTACACCCTCTTTTGTGAGGGAGTGATGATGAATTAAGGGTGGAAAGTGATGGGGTAATTTGGTAGCAGGTTTTGAGTTTCAACATGACATGGCGAGGGAACAAGAGGGTGTAGCCGCACAAGTGCAGCATACTTTGTCATGTTTAAATCTGATTCACTAAATGTCAAATTGCCTTTGTCTCTTCCCACCTCATGTCTTTTCTTTTTGTCAATCTTGTCTGACGTTTTTTTATGTTTTTTCTGTTTCCACCCACCTCACTCTCCTCCACCATCATCTTTGTCTTCCCTCGCCTGTCTTCCCTTCTTTTTTCATTCGCTCCCCTTTGTCTATCTCTCTCCATGCGTCTTGTACAGATGCAACTATCCTGTCGTATGACGGCAGTAAGTTTATGAAGGTGCAGTTGCCTGTAGCGATGCATACCGAGGCGGAGGACGTCTCGCTACGCTTTCGTTCCCAGCGGGCCTATGGCGTTCTCATGGCAACCACATCCCGTAACTCCGCAGACACCCTTCGTCTGGAGCTGGATGGGGGCCGTGTCCGACTCACTGTCAACCTAGGTACACACAAACACGTAGATTCTCAAACATTATTTTAATTAGGGGAATGCAGCTGATACTGGCCTCTTGGCTATTTCTTGCATAGGAATGTCATTAAATGTTAATTAATAATATATTACCCCTGGAAAGTAAACTCTTCCTGTTAATCCTGATAATTCTTCTCTTTAATTCTTTAATGTTTGTGCTTAGTATATTCAAGACATGGGTTTCACAGGTTTTGGCAGATACTTTTTAGCATTATGATTGACTTCATGGTGCATATACAGCTTATCTTTGAACACACACACACAAACATATACAATTAAAGGTTAGCTGCATTGTTTTTGTGTTGAACAGAGGGTCAAGCCTCAAGCTGCATTCTCTGCTCACTCCCAGTGGACCTGTGCATCCCTAACACCTTCAACAATCAACACAAAGACTCACAAACTGTACAAACACACACAAATAGTAAACTCCACACATAACTGCAGGAAAAGCACGTCCCTTCTTTTTTTGTACATGTAACTGCTAAACACATTTCCATCCTCACTCATTCACAGTCACACACTTTGACATGAATTCAAGTACATTCACATGCTAACACACACATAGACTAACAGAGGGGTGCATGTGTTGGTCTCTGGTTGTCTGCAGCCGCGTCTTTTCTGTGGTTGACGCCACACGACACACCATGGCATCATGGGTAAAAAGAATATATATGTATATATATATAATGGGGCTGAATCTTCCGACCATTTGCGGAGATTTGTGCTCTGGATGGGCGACAAAAATTATGGGATGTGTTCGATGTCATCTGACAAACTGACACACATGACCCATCTCAGTCTCCTGGTGCTTTTGATTGGTGACTGAAACTGTCGCTCAGGCCAGAGCAGCCGCCAATGAGCACACTGCTCGTGCTGGGACACACCGCTCTCCTTAACATGTAACTGTTCAATGTAAAGATCCACCAATCTTGATCTGGATAATTGGCTAAATTAATTTGTTTATTGGCTAAAACAACAAAGTCACAGAAACTGCATTTTGCTACACACTGTTGTAAGAAAATACACGGTCCAGCTTGAGGTCCTGTGACAAAGGAGAGTGTGTGTTTTCTCAGCAGTGTGTGTGTGCGTGTTTGTATATATGCGTGCAGGGTGTGTCGATGTGTGCGTCCCCAGGGCGTGGAGAGTATGTGTATGTGTGCAGCATTAACCCTCTGCTCTGCTCTCCCTCCAGACTGTATCAGGATAAACTGTACAGCCAGTAAGTGATCCTCCATCTCACCTAACCCCTCCCCCTTCCTCTTCCTCCTCAGTATGTATGTGTGTGTGTGCGCGCGCGGTAGTGTGTGTGCTTTTTTAATGTATCTGTCTGACTATTTTTTACTCTCTCTGTCTTGTCAGTCCATCTGCTCATAATCCCTTATTCAACCTATCTACGTACCGTGTGTCTGTGCATATATGTGTGTATGAGTGTGTGTTGGACAGGGGAGGTGCACATATGTGTTTGTGTCTGCATGTTCAGCTACACCACAGGAGCAGTATTTTTTGCTGAGGGCCAGGGTTTTCCAGGTCGGCCATTTTAGCAAAGAAGGATAGACGGAAGAGAGGACGGTGGGGGTTTAAGGGAGGAGAAAAAAGAAAGAGAAGAATAAAGAGGACAAAATCTGAGAATGAGGTGTTCAGGTAAAATTAGGTGTGTTGTGAAGTGTGAGCTAAATAAGCAAAGAGTGGTAACTGGTGATTTAACGCAACTCCGAGCTGCCGGGTAATTACTTCTTCTTCATGCCAGAGACAAAAGACCTGTTATCCCTCTGTTTCTTTCTGTCGCACCTTCATCCCAATGTCTGTCAGGTTTGCTTCTTGAACTCTCTAAACTGTACATAGGGGATTTTTGGGTAATGTTTCATTCTGTGTGTTTAGCGTGTGATTGTAAGTGTGTGCCTGTGCATTCTGTATTCTTTTCATTGCTCATCTGTGTGTGTGTGTGTGTTTTCTGGCTGTGTTTGCTGTGTGAAAGTGAGTGTGTGTGTTTCTGTTCATGCTGCTGTGAGTGGAGCTGAATCCCTGATGAAGTTTAATTCCCTCACGTGGAGTTTCTCTCTGTCACGACCACAGACAAAGCGAGAGAGTGAGAGAGAGACGAATGCTCTGTGACGGCAAAGAGGTGGTGAAATGGACGACTGCAGTTGCCATAGAAACCCTACTAGCCACACAGCGCTGTTGCTATCCCGCATGCCTGTCGGCCAATTTTAGACCGGTTGTCTCAATGAACATTTCAGTAGGCAGCCACTTTTCTGGCACACCGTGTGCATACAATAAATTATACATCTTATATTCGAGAGGGGAAGAAAAAATGTATTTAACAGCCAGGCGCCACTGAAATAGTCCACTCAGCAGGCAAATAAAAGCCTCGGCATGGGAGAGATTGAGGCTTATCCGGCAGAAAAGCCATTTGTTATTTGGAGCTAATGAAATATGAAACGCTTTTTGTCATTTTGTTTTCATTATCCTGCTCTTATAATCTCCAGTAGCTTATGTCATTTGATTTGAATTGTATTTCCTTTGCTACAAACAGTCCCCTTTGTCTTTATATTTGAATTGTCTCGCCTCATTGTCTTTTGGTTTAACAGCACAGAGCGCAGACTGTCTGCTGACCACCACAGTGATCGCTAGTAGCTCAACATTAAACCCAGCTAAACCATGCTGCTGAATGCACTGTTAGCACTGACCCAAAATCGGTGCTTGTGTGTGTGTTTGTGAGTCTGTCTGTGTGTTTATTGATGTGTATTTATGCCTCTCCCTGTTCCCAGGTTGACACAGATCACTGCCTCACTCTCACATCAGTCTGCTCATTCTTTGAGTATTTGGTTACATATGCAAAAAAAACCACACACACACACACACACACAATCAGAAACTCACACATACATACACATATTCTCTCCTTCACTCAGTGTTAGGCAGTGATCCATGGTAACAGGATGAGATGCTCATGCCCAGAGCACAGCTGAGTCTCCTCAGGGGAACCCTGTGTCCTCTCTGAACACACAACACACTCTTTTAGCCGTGCAAACACACACACGCTTTTCACATTGCCATATTCATTTTGATTGACTTCTTATATTTGTTTAATTATGTTTGCATGTCAGCATCCCTCTATGTCTCTCTCTTTCTCTACCTGTGTGTATGTGTGTCTGTGTGTGTGTCTGCCTGCGTGCCTCCATGAGTGATGTAGACATGCTTGACATTTTCTGCAGCAGAATCCGTTCGGGTCAGTTTACTTCTCACCTCCCCCATCATTACCTCCTATAGGTCACTGTAAGCAGACTCACTCGCACTCCTCAAACCAACAGGGCTTGGAGGAGGAAAAGGGAGAGTGTGTATGTCTGTTGGGAAATGGTGGGTGTTGTGTTCAAGGTTGGTGGGGTGCTTGTAGTGAGTAGGAGGAAGGGGACACTGAGGTTTCGGGAACAGTCCGTCTGTCAAATGTGTGCAGTCAACTATGTGAAGGTACGAGCTGGTAGATGGGCAGAGAGAGACATCATGAGAGGACAGCTCAGCTTCTTTCATTCTGCTGCACATCAGCACCTTGGAGAGCTCTCCGATGTTCTGCTGTGGGTCTAGTGCCACCATGAGGCTCACTGCGGTATTGCACTCTTGTGGAAAATAAAGAACGAGAACCTGTATGTAGACACAGACTAATATATATGTTGTGTGTGTGGGCGCAAGAGGGTTGCGGGGTGGTTTACGAGTCAAGGGGTACGAATGTGCTGTCTGTGCGTGTGAGGGTAGTAGGTGGTCATCATGGCGGTGTGATCTGTCCACAGATGGATTGTCTCAGCGTGGGCCTGTTGTGACTCACAGTCTCCATCTTAGGCACCCATGGCATCCACTTATGCTAATCTTTCTGTCTGTCTGTGTCACATCATCTGTCTCGCTGGCGTATCTGCAAAGAGACCTGTCTGTCTATCTGTGGAGAGAATGTGTTGACACAGAGGTGTTTGTCTCCCCAGGATATGTATGGTTCTTCCTCCCCTCTGCGATTCCCCTCCATTTTCTCACTTTCTGTCCTTAAATTTTAATTCAACGTGCCTGGCTGCTTCTTCTTCTCTTTTTCTGTCTCTGTCTCTGGATCTCTGTCTCTCTCTATCTGTCTCTCTCCACCTCTCTGTGCATTATGTTAATGGTGCTGTGGGCTATGTGTAGGTAAAGGCCCAGAGACCATCTTTGCGGGGTCAGGCCTCAATGATAATGAGTGGCACACGGTGAGGGTAGTCCGGCGTGGCAAGAGCCTCAAACTCACCGTAGACGACCTGCAGCCTGTTGAAGGTAACCATAGCAGCATTACTTACACCCCTTTTAGCTTTTCACTATAAAATGACTCTCTATAAACTCTACCTAGCTCCTTGTTTTTGTGATTTATTTTTTTTTTTTTTGTTTTTTATTTATTTAATGCTATAAGACCAACATTAAGGGTTTTATTTCTTTTTTTAGAGAGCATCTGTACCTGTGTAAGTGAAAATGATAATTCTGAATCATGATTGTGATTATAACTGTATACCAGTACACTAGTATTTATATTAGTTGTAGTATTAGTAATAGTGTCTGTTACATCTATTACTATCAGTCTGTCACTGTCAGTTCAAATGTTGAGTATTAGGATTAGTATTAGTTTTAGTATTGAACAGTTCCACTTGAAAACCCGCCCTCACCTCTTAAGTTTACCCCCGCCACCAGGTCAGATGGCGGGCGACCACACCCAGTTGGAGTTCCATAATGTGGAGACGGGTATTGTGACTGAGAAGCGCTTCATGCCTGCCGTGCCCTCCAATTTCATTGGCCACCTTCAGGGCCTGGCGCTGAATGGCATGCCCTACATCGACCTGTGCAAGAACGGCGACATCGACTACTGCGAGCTCAACGCTGTCATTGGCTATAAGAGCATCGTGGCTGACCCCGTCACCTTCCGCTCACGTTCCAGTTTTGTCACGCTGCCCACGCTACAGGCCTACTACTCTATGCATCTCTTCATGCAGTTCAAGACAACGTCTCCCGATGGCCTTGTTCTCTACAACAGGGGAGACGGCAATGACTTCATAGTGGTAGAGCTGGTTAAAGGGTGAGCTGGATGAAGCGCAGTGTGTCGTATTTATATTATATGACTTGGTGCAATGTCCTCACATTAAAGTTACCAAATAATAACATATATTAAAACAATAAAATGGATTCTAAATTAATTAATTAAATTGATTAACATGCAGTCCAAATAGTGGCTTGTGATAATATTAGTCTGGCATGTGTAAAAGAGAAAATTCTTTACTGTGAGGCTTTCATATCAAATATGAAAAATGCACAAATGCAAGTCAAGTAGTTCTTTTTCTATTCTTCTAATTACCTTTCTACAAGACAGATTGTTATGCCCTAAAGTGTATGACCCTGTGTTGTTCTTCATCATGAATATGACTAATTTGCCTTTTCTCTCCTCATTTTTTTAAACCCTTCTTCTCTCATTTTCTTATTCCCTTTCTAGCTACCTACACTACATCTCTGATCTGGGCAATGGAGCACATCTGATCAAAGGCAACTCTAACAGTCCCCTAAATGACAACCACTGGCACAATGTGCACATATCCAGAGACACTAACAATCTCCACACGGTCAAGATTGACACCAAAGTCACCACACAGACCACCATGGGCGCGAAGAACCTCGACCTGAAGGGTATGCGCAAAAATACAAGCAATGATACCTCAGTTTGAGTAGCTTAAACTTTAATGCCCTCCGAGGGGCAATTTGTGGTACAGCACCGAACATATAAACACATTAAGAGAACATCAGATAAACAACAAGAAAGGAATGCACATACTTGATAGTACATGCAATATTTGTACACATAATCTCACAAAACATACTTATAAACTGCTTCGCATGAGACTCATTTTGAGTATGAACATATACTGATTAGTGTTGAAATGATTATGTGCCAGACTATTTATTGGTCAGTGAACTTTAGACGGGCTGGTAGCTAGCGCTTTCCACTTGTTTTATTGTTACAAAGCCAAATATTCACTGGTTACAGCTTTAGAAATGTAAAAATGTGCACCTTTTCTCTGTTTTGTATCAGTTGTTGGTTGGACAAAACAACCATTTCAAAGACCCTGGGCTCATAGAACTTAGACAAAAAAATGTTTTACTTTCGAAAAGATCAATCAATAATGAAAGCTGTTAATTACAGCCCTGACACTGGTACAGTCTGGCATTTTAATAGATTCATGAAGCTGCCATTCACTGTTTTGCTCCTCGTCAGGTGACCTATACATCGGGGGCATCTCCAAAGAGATGTACCGGGACTTGCCTAAGCTGGTCCACTCCCGCGAGGGATTCCAGGGTTGCCTAGCAACAGTTGATCTAAATGGCCGGCTCCCTGACCTTTTGGCGGATGCCTTGGCAACCATGGGACAAGTAGAGAGAGGCTGTGAAGGTGAGGTGCAGACACACAGACAACACAACAGTAGATCTGTCCTGGTCCCATGTCCCTACTGCTTTGTCTTTCAGTTTTCATTTAACTCATGCTCTCTGTTATTAGGATAACCCACTAACCCAGCTTTTTGGTCTATTAGATGTAATTTTTTTCTTCTCATCTCCTCCTCAATCTTTCTGCACATTGTGTTTTCTCTTTCTGTTCCACTCTTTCAGCAGTTCACAGGCATCTGTGTGCATTGACTAACCATCTAACTTAATTTGCTTGTTTGCTTTTTTGTTTGGCTGACAAAAGTTACATTGATGAAAGCTGACTTGCAAGGTATATCGCTTTGTGTGAGCATGTGAGACACGTGTATGAGGGTGGGAAAATGTGTGTGTGAGTGCGTGTGTGTGTGGCTGTGTGTGTGTGTGTGTGTGTGTGTGTATGTATGCGTGTGTTCAAACTACCCAGTGGTGTCCAGTGTTGTGTGGATCCCAGTGATCCAGAGTCAAAGGTCAAAGGTGACCTGTCCTCTCCCAGCCACCATAGTGACTTCATCACAGTAGTAACATCACCACCACTTGACTTGAGTTGACCACAGCTCCACCACCCGGGTTGCCTAGCAGCATGCTCTCTAACCCCTCCTACTGACTCCCAACCTAAACTTCAATACTCCATTTGTGAATCATTTCACACTCTTTCCTCCACGCCTCGAGTTAGAAGTGCAACGAAGGAGAACTAAGTTTAGAGCTTTGACATTCTCCTCCTGTGTGGTTTCAGCACGAGGCAGGGAGAGAATGGTGACAGACTGCTGAAGAAAGAGTATTGAGATGAAGGCCTTTAAACATAACCCTGCTCTCTTATGTTTAACTCCTCCTCCTGCCCTTACCCCACTCATCTAGCCTCACCACCTGCATGCTCTCCACATTTAGCTATTTTCACCTAGTAACACAGATTCCAGTTTAGTTTCAGTTCAGTTGAAATGGATAATCTAACATCTTCTGTTAGTGTGAAGCTAAGAATGGGAGCCTATCCACAATCTTGTAGTCTGACAATGATTTTCTACTAATACTACTAATCATAACACCACTGCAGCACAACAGTCTACCCGACCTTTTCAAAATGCAAAATGTTTCAAGGAAGTGTGGTCTAAATATAGCCATACTGTACTGGCCAACTGTTGTGAACACACTGGGCTCCAGACAAAATAAAAAAAAAAGTGTGTCTGTTCATTTTCTCCTAACTTTTGCACCCTCCCGCCCCACCACATCTCTCACTGCAGGTCCCAGCACTACATGTCAAGAAGACTCTTGCTCAAATCAGGGAGTTTGTTTGCAGCAGTGGGAGGGCTTCACCTGTGACTGCAGCATGACTTCGTATGCTGGGCCATTATGTAATGATGGTGAGTCTTTGCTTTTCATTTTCCGGTGGATTAGGGAACATTTTCCATGGTGTAGACAGCTGGAGTAAGAGTGTAGGATAGTCTATTTTGATGTTTGAATCAGAAAAATACAAGTAAAGTCTGTAGTAATTGTATGTGTGATCCCTGAATACTCCGTAGATATCAGTTTGGGAATGTAAATCATAGAGCATCAGGTTTAAACATGTATTTGTAGATGCAATGAGCACAATATCCTTTTGTCCTGCTATATCTGTCAAACCTTAATCTTCACCCTAAATGTCTGTAGGAAACACAGCCAATCTAGCTTTAACCCTGGTATAGAACTGCGGTCTTAAACAGATGCACTTGCATAATTTGATTTCAAACAAAGAATCAAAGCATTTTTATCTGCATTTTATCAGAGCCACCACGTGAGGGCACTGTCATCTGTTGATTCTGAAGTGGAACAAATAATACTACCTGCTCTAGTTTGATTATTCTAATCTGGTCTCTGTCTCTCTGTGTGTAACATGTAATAATGTGCTGTTTACATTTTCTAGTTTTTGACACTAAATTATCCTCAGCAGCCTTACAAGCAAGATGCTTGATGATTATTTAGTCACCCTACAGTGAGTCAAACAATTGTATGCTGTTATTTGTATGAGTCAGTTAGTACAGTCAGCCGTCTGCAGTAATGTTCAGAAGTGGTTTGGAAAAAAAACTCTGTGGAAGGCCAGTCAACTGTGACATTTTAGAGTTTTAATATTTTTTTCCAGTATGCCCTTTGTGTATTATACATTTAGCAAAAGTAGGTACCATCATCAGGTCCTCTGATGATAGATAGCACAGTTTATCGTATGTAGACATACCTGCAATTACATTTTCTATCTATGTGGGCCAGCTGGGACCACTTATATCTTTGGCCGTGATGGAGGTGTGGTGGTTTACACATGGCCCCCTAATGAACGTCCCAGCACCAGGGCAGACCGGCTTGCCCTTGGGTTCAGCACCCAACAGAAGCACGCCATTCTGCTCCGGGTAGACAGCGCATCTGGACTGGGAGACTACCTTCAGCTGCAGATAGTAAGTACACGCCCTTGCATTCAAATAGTAGGCCAAAGAAAATGTGATTTTTCAAAGTAATTCTACATATTGCTCTTCTTTGAGGAGGAATTGAATTCTTCAACGCATACACCGAAAATACATGCTTCATTCATTAATTTATTTATTAAGATACACTGGGTCTGTCCCAATAGCCACACAGGTCGTAGACACTGCTTCAGAGAGAGCGTTATCCCACATTTCACCACAGTTTACTGCGTAACACGAGTCCTATGGTTGGCGGTAATGCAAACATGAAGAAGTAGAAGTTTATGACATGTTGAATTCAGCCTGAATATTATTATTCATGTCTAAACACTATCATTCATTCACTATCAACCTGCACAGATGGGTATCACTGAAAAATCTATTCTCCTTAATGAGATTGATAAGAATAATGTTGCATACCTGATCAAGTTAAACAAATATTAAATATCATATATTTTTATGAAATTATTACACAAATATATTCCTTCCTTAAAAATATTATCCGACATTCAAAATAATGTCATGCTATGTATCTCTTATGTACAGCATACATACTTCCATTACTTCATTTAATTACTACTCGCAGCTCCTGAATGTGTGTTTGTTTGTCATCTGATTAATTATACTGTATGTTATGTTTCTACTGATTTGTTCATTACCTTTTCACCCAAGACCTGTAAACACACTTTGATGTGGGTTCCCCTTTAACACAAAAACACAGGCAGTCACATGGGAGCACAAATTGTTAGGCATCAAGCCCAATAAACTAGGACCTTAAAAACATGAAAGAAATGATATCCTTGCCTTTCTAAAACAATTACATTCCTGATGAAGCATGTATCTCTCCTCCTCAGGACAAAGGCAACATTAGAGTAGTGTTTAATGTTGGCACTGATGACATCAACATCGAGGAGAGCTCCAAGTTTGTCAACGACGGGAAGTACCACATAATACGGTTCACCCGCAGCGGAGGCAATGCAACCCTCCAACTGGATGACCTGCCGGTCATAGAACGTTATCCCTCAGGTAGGCCCTGCCCCGCCCATATAAGCCCAACCCACCGACCCACCACAGCACTGCCTGTCCTGGGACAGATCTAACTACACCTTAGTCCAAATTAACCCACCTCCTGATTGATGAATCACATCAGTGTTCCTATCAATGTTTATATATAAACACTGAGGTTGAGAAATATAATTGCAGCTTTGTTTTATGTTATTGTGTTTGAAATGAAATATGTGTGATCTGATATGAAACATGACTTTTTAAACCATAAAATGGGATAGTTATTACAATAGCTTGTATATTAGCCAGCTATGTCATGTTAGGCCTGTTAAATAGTGTTAAAGGTAATTTATGAAAATATTCAATTCAGGTGTCAGATGTTTTTCTCACCATAAAAGAAAATAATAACAGTTGGTGCATTTTGGACAAACAATAATTTAAAAACATGTCATATTTTGAGTAAAATGTTTAACTAGAGAGAAAAAATAAGAAAAAAAGAAGTGTAAAAGTGTATTTTGTTGAACATAGTCTTTGTTTTTATATTTGTTTGGTTTTTATATTTAAAGTGGTAATCTTAGGTAGTAGTCTTTAACACAATGAGGTCCAGACTTTAGATAGCTGATAGATAAAATGCTAAATGTTAGTTGTTGTGAGGTGTGTGTGAGGGTTCCTTCTGTATGTAACTCTAAACTCAGTCAGTCATATAGACAGTATGTGGCAGCTGTAACATTATTTCCCTGTGCTCTTGCAGATGTTAACCCCTGAAATGTCTCTTTAAATTAAACCCAATGAACAGAGAGTAAGAGTCCGCTCACTGGAAACATAGTGAATTCAGCTCCTCTTCTCTCAGCAGATCTTAAGCTTACCTTAACGCAGTGACATGCTAACAATGAGCAGACCATTACTTTCTTTTCATTGCTGTTCTTTTTGTATCCAGCTCCTGTACCACGTTTGGATGTGCGTAATTACTACTGTGTTTTCATCTCTAAATTAAAGGCAACATTGATAACGAGCGCCTGGCCATCGCCAGACAGCGAATCCCCTATCGGCTCGGTCGAGTAGTTGACGATTGGCTACTCGACAAAGGTAAAAACCCTGATTAAAATTCCTTAAAACTTTGAGCTTAAAAAATACAATTTGAAGACAGTTGAATATACTTTATTGTGCACCATCAACTAACATCTAAAAATCTAAATCCATAACTAAGTATTTAAAAGTTGGGCAGCTGTAGTGTGTAATACTGTGTAAACTGTAGTGCCTGTGAACGTATCTTGTTAGTGTGTATCTGATAATATCAGGTTAAAGGGACGATGGAGAGATTTAAATGTGAATAAATCAGATAATAGAAAAGAAGTACTGATAAAAGATGCTTTATTAAGACTGGTAAATAATTTTGTTTAATTTTGTAAACAATAAAGCATTTACTAAAGATTATATGTTGAAAAACAATTTTGTAATCAAATTAAAGTACATGCAAAGTATTGTGACATGTAAGAATTATATAAATTTGAAATGACTAATAGAGCAATGCTTTTTTGAAAAAATGTAAAAGTTTTCCTCCTAAACTTCAGCAGAGCTCCTTAAATTAGCCTCTAGTCCCTTTAACAGTGAGCAGTGCTAGAGCTTATAACCTGTGCATGCTTCATAGGGCTGTTACAACAGTTCTCTAGATCTCTGTCTCTCTGTCTGCCTGTCTGTTGCTCCTTCAAATACAATGTCGTGCCGCACAGCCATCACCATAGCAACCATCTGTCAGCCCCGTCTTCTCAGGGCCCTCTGACTCCTCATCTGCCGCCTCTTCCTCCTCCTTCTGTTCTTTGCCTCTTCATCCTCCTCCTCCTCGACTTCTCAGTCTCTTCGCCTCCCCTTTCCCTCCTCTTGCTCTTCTTCTTCCTCTTCTTCAGTACTCACTCTTATCTCTTTCTCAGTCTCAGCCCTCTCCACGGTTCTCCACGGCTTCGATTTGCTCTGCCATGCTTAATCTATCCCATCCTCTCACCATGGCTTTGGGGTGGTGAATTGTGTGACACTCAAACACTCTTGTGTGTGTATGTATGCACGTATGTGACCACTGGTATGTATGTGTGTGTGACTGTATTTGCGTGTGTTCGTCCACCTTCCTTCCTGGTGTGCCTCTGTGTGTTTGGTGCGCGCTTGCGTGTGGGTGCATGTGTGTCCATGTAGGTCGCCAGCTGACCATCTTCAACAGCCAGACGACGGTGCGCGTAGGTGGAGGCGAGCGAGGTGCAGGTATGTTCCAGGGTCAGCTGTCTGGCCTCTACTACAATGGTCTTCGTATCCTCAACATGGCCGCTGAGGGGCACCCGCACATCAGAGTGGAGGGAAGCGCACGTCTGGTCGGCGACATGCCGTCCTCCTCCATCACCCCGCAGTCCAGTGCTGCAGCTGGAGGGAACCGCTCTGACTCTGCGCCCTCCATAAGTGACATCACAACCACCACAGCCACCAACAGGAAACAGGGCGCCACACAACAGGTCAGAGCACATTTTTTAAAGTTTGTGTATGGAAAACTCACTTCTGTGTGCGGTTATACAAAGATTTGCTTGCATGTAATTCCTCAGATATCTTGTACATATATGTCCTATCACCCCACTGCCATCATCCTTTGGTGTGACAATGGGTAATTAAGAAGTGCTAATTTGCTTTGATAAGTTTCTTTGCGAACTCGGTAAGAGGATTAGCAAGCACACAGCCCACTAATCAAGGACTAGAGGATAGCAAGATATGTCAGGAGGATTGTTTTAAACTCCACTTAAGGCAAGGCGAGTTTATTTATGTCGCACATTTTATACACAAAGGCAATTCAAACTGTTTTACATAA